AACGACCGGGTGATCGCTCGACGGCAGCAAGAACGGCCAACTGCAGATCGCGTCACACGTTCACTTCAGCGACCCTCTTGCTTTGTCTCCTATTTATCAAAGACGATCCCAACGACGTCGTGATTGAGGTGTCTTCACCTTTCGGCACTTTCAGCCGCGGCGCTGCTGTGTCATGATGAAATGAAAATTGGCGAAGATTTCGCTGAAAGCGATGGCCCAGCAGGAAAACAAAAATGACAAAACCGACCAGACCGACAATTATTAAAAAAAAAGGTCAAGGGTTAACGACGAGTGACAACTTTTGTGCAAGACGGGCATCAAAGTATTTTTCAGTATATTTTGCATTTATAATTCATATATTTTTCAGTATATGTTGCGTTTTTATTTACATACCATTCATTTAGCCATATTTGTGATGTTTAAATTTTGTTCATATTTATTAATTAATTTTGTTCCAACAATCTATACAACACTGGTATGTAAAACACTTTATAAGTACTCTTCAGGATGTAAAAAAAGGAAAAAAAAAAGACAGAAAAAGAAATGACAAAACCAACTAGGTCAGCAATTATAAGAAGACTTAATTGCAAATAAAGCCATGACCTTTAAGCTTTTTACAATTTAAACCAAACTTTAAGTTAATTGTAAACATATCACAATCTTTTTTAAAATTGCAACTCGAACCCAAAATTGTTCGGCGGCGAGCTCCATGCATATGTGCCGGACATACAATCTCACGTGTCCTTACGCTGTAGTGATGAGGATGCCACACTGTTACACACAACAATAAAGCTTGAAAGGACTTTTAACTCTCCGCGAGCACACGACACACTCATACCAATTTCGTTCATATGAAAATCTCATCTTTGAAGAGCAAGAGCTTGTGTTGTGGAACATACACTTCTACATATTTATCATTTGTGTTCTTTTGAAAATACAAACATACACTTATATGTGATTCTAGGTGAGCTCTGTGCCCGCACAAACACACATTTCCACACTTTTTTTTTTTTTTTTCAATTTTTGTTCTTTTAAAAGGTTTAAAAGCTTAAACCTTAATCATCTTGCAACATCATTTGAGTTTCATTTGTTATTAAATGATTTTTCTAATTAATTAATGATTCAAAATAATAAAAAAAAACGGGTTGGATGTAGCGCCAAAAATTCGAAACAAACATGGGTGGAATAGGTTAATAAAAGGTTCACGACGTGGCTCATCGAAGCCATCGGAACTTTCACTACGTTCTCTTGTCCATCATCTTAAAAAAAACTAATAAAATTTTCTCTTCCAATTTCTTGCCTCGAGTAATCGTCCTTAAAAGTTGAAATACACTCATCTGTTCCTTGCATATCAACATGGCATTGTACTTATATACCTGCCATGCTACGTTAATTTTTATTTTTATTTTTATTTATTTTTATTTTATTTTTTATTTTTTATTTTTTTTTTCTAATGCACAAATCTGGTTGCTATGCTTCCATTCTTGATGTAAGAGTTATGATATTGAATTTTGGCAACCTCAAATGCATGATTCGGCTTGTTTTTCAGTTTTATCTCGATTTTTTCTGTACTTTTTAATCAATTTGGTGTGGTTCAGTGTGAAACTGCACCGAACCGAACAAACTGAAAACCGAACTTATGAAAAATTATAACCGAACCGCACCTCAATGTAAGAAAAAACTGAACTGAATCCAAACTGATTTTCTTTATACACTAAGAATATCGAACCGAACTGCACCGAATTGCTCTGTTCGGCTCATTTTTTAAGTTTCGGCTCAGCTTTGCTCACCCCTACCTAAGAGTGGAGTAAGACACGATAATATTTATAGGAAAATTATCTTTGTAAGTGAGAAATAAAGAGGCTGCTTCAAACGAACACTTACTAAAACAAGACATGGTCCAGTGACGAAATAGACACAAATTGAGAAAATGTTAGAGCGCTATTGTCTTTGTTCACTCAAACAACAAGTTCAAACCATCGCTCTACTAGTCGACAAGTGTATATGATAATATTTTACTATGAAATATTGAAAGCCATGAGCTGTCTATCCTGATGCAATGAAAGTTCATCATGACTCTCAAGTATCGCATACGCACAATAATGTCGTTCATGTAGAGAATTGTAAGAAAAAAATGATTTACCAATATTTACGGTTCTATTTTTGTAAATGAAAGACATAAAAAATTTCAAAACCATTTATGCTGCATTAAAAATCAATTCTAAAAAGTTGGAATGCGGGGAAGTTGAGTTTTTGTAACTCAAAATTTAGTTTGAGTTGCTTAAAAGTTGGTTAGAATAAAAATCAGACATGTAGATATTGATTTTATCAAGCCAGCAATGGCTTAGCACATTGCACAATATCGCGGCACATGAAGGAAGTGTCCTTCACGACGTGACAGTTAGGCGTATCTGGAGGCTTTGTCCCGTGGGAAGCCCCTCGCGGACACAATGAGCCCGCAACTTGGACACACTTGTTGGTGACAAAAGGTTGCAAACTTAGTTTTGGTTACATTTTTTCGCACCGCTGATGTCCAAAAGGCATCTTTATAGTTTAGACACATAAACCATCTGGTGATGTTCTCACACATCTTTAAATACCCCCAGGGGGGCTGGCTCTTTTGGGTGGCAACCTAGGCCCATTCCTAGGGCCCCCCATATATTTGGGGCCCAATTTTTCTTTCAATATTATATAATTGTATTTGGGTTTAGCCGATTTGCATATATGAAATGACTTGGCCCATTATACAAATGAAGTGGCTAATTAATGAATGAGCTAATGACAAAATATGTACTTTGTGTGGAATTGAGACCTTAAATTTTTCGTTGTTTTCTTATGATGTTCGGTTAGAACAATTTTGTGAGAATAAATATTATTTGCAGTGATATGGTTTTTTATTTCTTCTCCTTGTTGTCTGCTTGGCTGTAATTTATTAAAGATCTTTGTAACCCATAGGTAATATATCAATTCCAAGGTCTAGAAAAACAAGAAAAATCATTCTTTTTCAATTATTTATTTATTTATTTAATAGTCTTGTTTAATTAGGTTTTTTTTCTTCTATGATTTACAAATAGCCCTAATTACCACGCAAGTTCAAATTTGAAAATTCGAAAAGGACAAAGTTCTAGGACCTCCAAATTTTTGGAGACGCTCTGAATACCCCATGAATGCCATACAATTATTCACTTATAATTTAAGAGTTGTTTGCATTATTTTCACAAAGATTATACTATTTCGCTTGTTCATAATCTTCATTTCATTTTTTAGATTTATAATACTGTTGTACATAAGGTAAAAATTGTTATATCTTCGAGGCGTTAGTCATAAACTGTGTGTATTTTACGGGCTATTTCGTATCAAGAATTTTTTTAAGTGTCTCGACTTATTTCATTTGGTTATATTTTATTTTTTAAGTCATTCTCTTCATATTCACAAACACCACAAATTAACAAACTAATTGAGACGAGATTGTGTATGCCTTTATGGACAAAAATGATCGTTTGACATCATTGATTTATTTAATTTATCCTTTTTATTTTATTAATATCATGGTTAGTTCTAGATTTGGTAGGAAAAATATTTATCCTAGTCCTTTTCTTGATAGGTAAGATATTTCATTAGATCTTGAGATATGTTTAAGACTCATATTCTATTGTATGAAGGGCATTTGATTTTGATTGAATAAGAAAATAAACGAATTATCTCTTAATTCTCCTTTGCGTTTATGCATTATCTACGTCAGTTGATATCAGCAGAACAATATGATTCTTATGTCATGCCGCCCAAATGGAACAACACTCTGGATGATAGGCGCGACACCGCAATCAAGGCGTTGAGCCGCCAAGTCACGACTTTGACCACTGTGGTCGAGGAATTTAGGCTGCTCCTGCAGCCCTTGGCCATGGCAATCGTATGAACCACGCGTCAGACATAGTACGTGATGGCCATGGGTGGGCGCCTCGCATCTGGTTGCCTCCGTAGTTTGTCGGTGACAATGATCTTGAGGATACCATCCCTTAGGTAAATTCATTCGGTACGATGGCGGAGTGGGACGAGGGTCGTTTCGCCGATGATTGGCATTAGATGTCATCTTTACGGGTTTAGATCCCCAAATTTTTTAAGAGCCTGGAAGCCGTTGAGTTCTTGGATGAGCAAGGATTGATCATGTATGAGGGTCTGCTTATTTTTATGATTGTATAAGAATATATGAGAGTTCTCTCTCAATTCTCACATTTATTACAAAAGATGATTTTTTTTCTCATTCAAAAGCAGACAACATATGGAGTGCCTTCTAGCATAAAACAAAGTAACTCATCGTTTATTCATTGAATTGAACTCTATTTTGAGACACAAACGATTTTGGAACAATTTTCCCAGAGGGTAGGGCTTGTAACTTTTCACGTCAACGCCCTATGTTCACCTGAAGGCAAAGTGGCACTTTATGGAACTGCATGGAGGGCTGGACAACAGATACACTCTTGGCAGACTTTTGGAGGCATGGGCAGACAATCAAGTAGCTGCTAATCTGTCAGCAGTCGGAAGAGCTCTGGAGGAAGCCAAAAGAGGTGGATGGTCATAGATACAGTTCAATATTCAAGACAAAGTGCTGGTTCAAGTTCTTCAAGACAAGGTCTCTTGTCGTCTTGCGGTTGTAAATGATGTCATGTATTTGAAACAAGGCTTTAGTAACTGTGTGTTCTTCTTGATCTTCTTCTTCTTTGTTAGGTGCTTGTGACCATGTTGGTCGTGAAGGGGGGTCCCTGTAGTGATTATCCCGTGCATCACCATTTTAGTTTGGCCGAGATAGGTTGGTGATGTAATCAGTCGGTCACAGGTAGACATATTCCGTTTAGGAAAAAAAAAAAATCATAATCACAAATTCATAATCAAATATAATCGGCACACTTTATTATCATTCAATTAGAAACATATAATATAACCAAATAAACGTCCAAAGTACAAAATGCTAATTAATTAATTAATAGAATTGAAGTCTGCTCTCAATTGAAAACTGCTCGTCTGCCCATCTGGCCATGCCTATGGTACGCAACCCAAGCCTTGAAGCACGACTTACTAATCCCGACCTCCTCGCATATGTTCATAATCTCCTCTTTCGAGTAATCCCTAAACATCTCCCAATCTTTCACCTCCGCAATCGCTCTCAGCCTCTTACAACTCTGTGACTCATCCAACCTTCTCCCCTGCCCACGGGACCCACCGTCCACCCCCGCCTCCCGTCTCGCGAACTGCCCATGGCTCGGCGGCGTCCCCCGGCGGGCTTGAGGCGGTACAGGAGGAAAATATGGGAACTCGGGGCTCGGCCGCGCTTGGTGACTAGACGGCGGCGGTGGCGGTGGCTGGCGACCGTGCGGCGGCTCCGGCGATGGGACGGCCGTCGGGCTGTCTCCGTCTTGGCGGCGGGGGAGGTCCACCTCGACACGGCGGTGGAAGCTACGGTGGCAGCCGCACGCGGCGCATGTGGCGAAGTGGCGGGTCCCGGACGGGCCGCC